AAATGTAAAATATTTAAAATATTTATTTAATGTTTATTATTAATAATAAAATTATTATATTATGTAGTATTTATATTTATTTAGATATTTATATAAATATATTTATATATTTGTATTTATTTAGATATAAAAGAAAGAAAATAATAAAAAAATATATATATTCCTAAAATTATATATATTAGGAATGTTCTAAATGTTTTCAAACAGATCAGTGTTTCGAAAGTGTCGCAGAACCGTAGTATTTACACTCTTTAGGAAGTCAAACACCACATGACTTGCACATTTATCTGGAAAGTATTTGACCTTTTTCACCGTTAAAAGAGAACCACTTAGGATCCATATACACTCTGCTATTCAAATACAGTCAAATACATTCAACCAAGTGGAAGGACAGTGAGATGTTTGTCTTGAGTGACTGCACTGAGATGAACGGTCTGCTGATGTTTGATGCTGTCTGACTCTGTGTAGCAAACAGGATATTGAGTCTAATCTGTGTCATTAAGACAGATCTGACCGTCTGACATTCACTACAGGTGTCTGTGTGCTTTACAGACAAGACTAGACAGCAGCTGAGACTGGACTGGAAGTTATCACAAGCATTAATGTTACAGGAATTAATAAGGAATGTTCCGGGTTCAGTCTGTGGACAGAAAATAATTTAGACAAGCAAAAATCACATTTACAGTAACGCCCTATAAGTGATTATAAGCTGTCACGTGTCATTAAAGCTCTGAATGTTGGCTCACACGGGCGTCTTCAGCTGATCTCAGACCTGCATGAGAAGCAGCTCTTTATCTGTGTGGCACACTGAGCTCTTTGTGTGGGAGATATTTGAGCATTGGCCAAACGAACACTTTCCTGGAGTGCTCAGGCCAAGAGGAGCCGTCGAGAGAAACACACAGACGGCCTGGAGTGTGACGACACACACACAGGATACACACAGAACACGGCAATATGGCTTCCTGGCAGCTCACACACATGCAAACACACACACACACTTCCTCTCAGGTTCAGGCTCACATACAAACAGATAATCCTGATTGGAAAGGAAAACTTGAAATCGCATCATATGACCCCTTTAAAAGTCTCGATCGCTATGCTAGACACAACTGGACATCTTCAGCATCGGCTGACTGTGTGGTTTTGTACCCATAATGCTTTGTGCTCTATAGGGTTTTATTCACACGCCGCATGCTTGCATTCCTTATTCAGCCCAGAAACTCAGCGATGAATACTAAACACATTCACACTCTTTCAGTCATTCACTAATTTTCTCACTGTCAGTCCTTCTGTCCGGTCTAAACACGTTTCACTGATTCCGGTTCAGTCACCACAGAGAAACAGCGGGTTTTTACCGCGTAACTCGTGATACATAGATCCTAACTTAGACTTTGTGAAAACATTTTGGCTCTGAGTTTGTGTTGGGTGGCACCTGTGTGAGATTCAGAAATATAAGTGTTTTAATATATATGATTCTTTCAGTGTTTTTCAAATATTTCTATCTTAGTTAACTGCAAATGAGAGCTCAATGTTCAATTATTCCTTCTTGACAGTAATGTGACGAATTTCCCTACTATGACTATGAAATGTATGTAAAACTATGATGGATATTAAAAAATTAGAGTCCTGGCAGCTCACACACATGCAAACACACACACACACTTCCTCTCAGGTTCAGGCTCACATACAAACAGATAATCCTGATTGTGTTTTTCAAATATTTCTATCTTAGTTAACTGCAAATGAGAGCTCCTCAATGTTCAATTGTTCCTTCTTGACAGTAATGTGACGAATTTCCCTAAACTATGAAATGTATGTAAAACTATGATGGATATTAAAAAATTAGAGATACATTTCTTCATCTTTCTCTCTCACAGCATTTCCATGATGGACGGAAGGCACAGCAACAGGTCGAAGCCAGTTGGAAACAGCTGGAATCGGTGAGTTTAGTCAAGATCAATGATCAATCAATAATCTTTATAATAAATGCGCACTGGAATCACAATTTTATATAATACTATGGTACTTTGATATACAGTGGTCTCCAAAATTCTGGGAGCACTAGTGATAAGGCTTTTATTTTGCATTATTCAACACATTATTGTAATACAGATTAAATGATGAAAATATTAAAATTATATTAACATATTTAAATTATTTAAAATTATTTATTAACTTAAAACAGTATTTTTAAGATTAATTTAATTTATGTATTTATTAAACTTGCATTATTCAATGCAACATTTTAATACAAATTAAATGAATAAAATATTCAAATTCAATTGAATAATTAATTTGAATTTTGTGTTATTTATTTTTTACATTTTTTAACATTTCGTTAAACTTTCATGATTCTGTACAACATTTTAATACAAATTAAATTATTAAAATGTTACAATGATTCAAATATTATAATATTAGTATTTTATTTATTTTTGTGTTTTTAAAAAATAATTAACTTTTATTATTCAATACAACATTTTAATGCATATTCAATTATTAAAATATTAAAGTTTGAATAATTAATTTTAAAATTGAATTATTTTAATACAATTGAAATATTATAGTCAAATTAAATAATTTTGAAATTAAAATATTGTAATATTATTATTCATATTTGAGGTATTAATACCTTTTAAGGTACTAATATGCACCTTTTAGGGGTAAATAAGGTACAAAGGTGTACATTTTGAAAAGGTACTGCCCCAGTGACCGCTTTTGTACCTTTTTTCTGAGAGTGTAGCTGTATACCATGCTACTGGATGAATGCCATATTCACTTACTTCAAAGTATACCATGGTATTACCATAGTAAATGTCCAAAAGGCTAAGATAACCCCTTAGTCCATTAGATACTGTGTGTGTGTGTGTATATGTGTGTGATCAGAGGGACGTCTCACACACACACTGAAGCAGACAGGATATATCACGACATTCCTCTGTACGCCCACTGTCTCAGAGTGTGTGGTGTTTGAGATGGATTGTGTCATTGTTAGCAGAGTCTTCTGGCTGTTTGTTGATTCAGTGTGTATGTGTGAGAGAACAAGAGAGCACTGCCTGTGTGTGTCCGTGTGTAAGAATGAGTTCATTGTGTGTGTGTTTGCGTGATCGGTCAATGGTCAGTGCGGACACAAATGTTGATTGTCCCTTCAAATAAATGAGTGCGAGAGCGAGATGAAGAATAAACAATTTGATAATGGATGAACGTTTATTATACTGCAGTTCACACATCTGTTCGGTGGGCTGAGTGTGTGAGTGTGCTAATTACAATGTGAGTGTTCTGCATCTGAACATCTGTAAGTACATGAATCTAAAGCAGTGTGTTCTGCCATGGTTTAACACGTGTGTGTGTGTGTGTGCAGTGTAAGCGGAAGTTTGAGCGGGATTGTAAAGAAGCGGATCGAGCCCAGCAGTACTTTGAGAAGCTGGACGCAGACATCAATGTGACGAAAGCAGACGTGGAGAAGGTAAGACCGTCTGATAAGGAATCGTACTTCATCCAGGATTCCTGAAGAAAAAAAACACCAGTTTCTCCACTGGGAAGCTGATTTTAACAGTAATAAGACAGAAATTATGATATAATTATGTAGAAACCACAAGTCAGTTCTATCTATCTATCTATCTATCTATCTATCTGTCTGTCTGTCTGTCTGTCTGTCTGTCTGTCTGTCTATCTGTCTGTCTCTCTGTTTTCTATCGATCTATCTATCTATCTACCTATCTATCTATCTATCTGTCTGTTTCTATCTATCTATCTGTCTGTCTGTTTCTATCTATCTATCTATCTATCTATCTATCTACTCTTTCTATCTATCTATCTATCATCTGACTCTTTCTATCTATCTATCTATCATCTGACTATTTCTATCTATCTATCTATCTATCT